GTACTGGTCCACATCCTCCTCTGTACTGGTCCACATCCTCCTCTGTACTGGTCCACATCCTCCTCTGTACTGGTCCACATCATGACCCAGTTTGACAAACAAACCAAACGCTTTTCTCTAGTTTTATATTCTGGGTTGTTTGTATTTTAAATACAGTTTTACATGTTTAGGTCAGGCTATAATCTCTGCAGATTAAGTAACACAGATTATAAAATGCTGGATAAATTTCTTATTTAATGGGGCTAATTTAATATTCCTTTAAATTAAGATTTAATCCCGATGAAGTGAACCCAACTACCTGTTTTAAATCCTTCACAATAAGAGTCCACATGAAATTTTAAAAGTGTCTCCCACTCACAGCCCCAACTGTAAACCATTAGATTAGAAACCAGTTTAATTAAGTTAATTAGACTACTGCACTGTAATTTTTGTAGGTAACCCAAGACAGGACAAAAATAATAGTTACATTCTATTTTTCAGGATTAAAACTTTTATTTTCAACACTGCAACTGCTTGTTAAATAAATACTTTTATTTTAGCAGAAACCTTCATCCAGGCTAGCAGAACGCTACGTTAAATAATAAAAAACCTGTTTAAAGTTAAGAAAACTGCAGCTTATTGTGGACTTTAGCTAATGTAGGGTTCTTTAATGAGCCTGGATAATCTGATAAGGTGTTAAATATTAAAATATCCCTTTAATAACAGTAATCCTCTGTCAGACCGCTGCTTTCAGATATGATTTCTTCATTTTACAGAGAAAACCTGAAACAATGTTAGGTTAGTAACATTTCACAGCTGGAAACAAAAAAATCTTTGCTAACTCTCATGGAAAATTTAAGGTTTTTTGCTGAAACAAAACTTCAAGGTTATATTTCATACAGTGAATTTAAACCCTGTAGATCAGATTAAGCTCTGTAGCTGCTCTCTCTGCACACAGTAACACTTTGTGACGGCTCAGATAAACCAATAACTTATCAAACTGATACAGAATCAATCCCTGACTTCACCTGTGTGAACCTTTTTACACAAACTGGTTTATAATGTTTATATAACTGCAGCAGGAGGCTCGGCTAAAATGAAACAGGAAGTGACATCAAAGGGGAACTCCTTGAGAAATAAAACTTCCTGTTTTTGTTTATTGAAAATGTTATTTGAACTCTCTCTTCTCTCTATAAGTGATTAAAATAATCTAAAGAAACATCGCTCTGTTCACATGCAGACCTCTGACATCACTTCCTGTTTCTTCACATGTAAATATCTCAACCGTTCATCTCAGATGTGTGAAATCTTTTTTTTACAATATTTTATCAATGTCATCTTTACAAAAATACATTCATATTTATTATAAAAATTAGACGTCACAGGTCCTTTAAGAGCTGGGAGTGACAGGTTAAACCAGTTTGTAAAGTTATTTAAAGCTCTGGTCTCTGCTCAGCTGTTGTTTATCTCATGTTTATTTGATGTTATTTAGTGAAGTATTAAAAATACAACCTGGATCAGTCTGGTGGAGCTTCTTACCTGCAGGAGTCTCAGTTTGAAGAGTTAGAGACGTTCTACCACCTGAAAAAACAAMGTATTATTACTCTACATCCTAACTTTGAAGTACAAATGTTCCTGGTGAATTAGTATATTTGTTTTTAAACCCATTTTAAGGCCTGAGCTGATGATGAAGGTTTTGTTTGTGCAGATTTATCCAGACGAGGGTCACTTCCTGTCGCAGCAGAGCCGTCAGCACCTCTACGCCACGCTGAGCAGCTTCTACAGGGAGTGTCTAAAGGAGGAGCTGCTGCCGCTGCCGGACGAGGAAGACGAGGAGGACGAGTAACGGACCTTGAGGGACTTTACAGAAACCCGTGGAAGCCTTTTGGACCGGCTGTGGACACAGAGAGCAGCTGAAGCTCTCAGAGTGTTTGTTCCTGAGCACTTCTTTGTGTGAATGTATAAATGTGTTAAAGACGAGGGCGCCGCCGCCGGGACTCCAGCTGCAAACGGACCATAAAGTTCTCCTGGTTCTGGGACGCTCGGCTTCTCAGCAAAGCACACGGAGGACTTCCTACATCGTCCACAGAAAACCACGTGCATGGACCTCACCGCTGGCGTCAGGGACGACACAGACTTGTGTTTYCTGTCCTCACCAGCAGAGAAAACATCCAACATGTCCGCCTGAGGACTTCCTGCTGACGGTTCTCCTCCAACACAAACTGAACTTCCATTATTTGACCGTTTTGTGTCGTCATGTTCACCTTCCTGTGAAATCACTGCTCACTCRTCAGCTGAGGCACGGTTAAAGGGATTTTTATTTGAAACCAGAGCTGTGTGAAGAGTTTTAGCTGCTTCTGTCTGGAGATCAAAGCTAAAGGTGTGTGGTCAGACACAACCTCAAACAATTATTAACCTCTTCAGCCCCAAACTCTAAATCCCAGCTGAAATGTAACTGAGTGTATCTCAACATTTACAATCTAATTAAATAATATTGGTATCAAAATAAAGCTAACACTTGGGAGATTTTATGATTTTATTTAGTATTAAAACAGCTGCTGTGGTTTTAGAGATATTGAGGATGCAACATGTATATATWTTTTTTTCATTAGACAGTATTTAACCCATTTAAAACCATAATAAATCAGACTAAAACTCCTGGAAACCATAAATCCACCTGTGGACATCACCTGTGTAAAGATTCATGCTGCTAAAATGAACTGGAGCAAAGTTAGAGGTTTTAATAAAGAAATAATTTTGTGTTTTGTCATTTTGAACAGGACAGACCATGATGATTTCATTAATAAATGTTAAGAAATCTCAAGTTTTGAATTGCAAACGTTGTTTTTTTACTAAATGTTTGATCTTTTGAAAAATTATCCAAACATTTATTTGTCTCCATATATGTGACCCATCATATCAAAATGAGGATTAAGTCAAATTTGGTGAAAATGACTTAATTACAGTTTCAGATTCTTGGCTTTAAAAGCTACTCGGGGCTGCACTGATTGGTTGAAATAATCGATGATTATGTAAATTTTTTGACGCAGATTTTTTATAATCGATTCTCTGTATTACATAACCACCAGGTGAATGTTCATGCAATTCCATTTCGGTACCTAAACGCATCATTG